ACCGAAATGCTGCAAAGAACTACCGTTACTGCTGCTCTCCGACAAAGATTATCCACATTTCATCTCTATCCCAGGAAGTAACTGAAGAAGAAATTGTGAATTTACTCGAGCAACACATGCCGATTGTCAACACCAAGCTCTTCGAGATGAATGGGAAAAGGCAGGCACTCATCATGTTCGACACTGAGGAGCAGGCCACCGAGGCTCTTGTTTGCAAGCACGCTACTTCGCTTGGTGGGTCAATCATTCGCATTTCATTTTCCCAGTTGCAGACTATATGAAGTTAGGAAGGGATTCGTAATGCGAATTTTAAAAATGAAGATGATGGCGCATATTGTTTTGATTCTTGTAACAATTAATTTGTGTTTGGATTTCTTGTGGGATTGTACTCTTGCTGCTTTGTTGTCTCAATTCTTCTCTTCTCATCTCATCTCATCTCTCTCTTCTCCCCTTGGGCTTGTTGAAATCATTCTTAGACGCCTTCCAACGGAGTTAGATTTTGGTTTTATGCTCAGTTTTGAAGAGAATTAGGAAGAAGGAAAGCTAACCTGCCTTTTTTTTTTTTTTTGAGTTGAGGATATCTTCGTTAGGTGGTATGTACATGGCCCTTGTATTTTTTGGCAAGTCAGGCCATTGGCTGTTGTAATATCAGTTCATAGTACGCTTAAATCTCTTCTACCTAATTTATTGATGAACATGTCTTCACAAGCTTTTCTCCAACTCTTTCTTTTTAGCTCTTGACAGGTGAAGAAATAGGTGTTAAATGTATGTATTCTCCTCTATAGGACAATGTTGACTGTTTTGACGGCATATATTTGCTGAAAGGAAGTAGCCAATGGAGTAACATGTAGGATACAACTACCTTTATGTGCAGGTGTTATCTGCGGAAGGGCAACATGCAATGCTCCTCATGCTTGGTTCATTCGGATGCCTTCAGTACACCAAAAAAGTTATGATATAAAATGAACCTTACTACAAGTACCTCATAAACATACAATAACATAAGCCTCTAATGCATACAAAGTTCACACCAATTTTTTGGCTTCTGACACACTAATAGATGAAGTCCAAACAATTGTTTGAATTCTTCATCAATGCAATCACAAATAAATTTGTTGATGTAGAGAGTTACTGGCTTTAGCTCACTTTCGGTCACTTCACTCAACAAATTTCTCAACCACAATACTTCAACACGATATCACAGTTGTCATAAACTCAATCCCATGGTTCGCTGCTTTTGAGATTGTCAAGTGATCAAATTTTTGTTGAGATAAAACGTCATTCGTGCAGTGTCTTTTCTATCGTTGATCTCTCTAGCTAAACAACTGTTAGTAAAATCAACTAGTTCATAAGGTCTTTGTCCTCTTTGAAACTTTAGTCCGCAGTTTGTGGTTTCCTTCGCATAGTGGAGAATGTGCTTGACGGCTTGATGATGCATCAGAGTAGGCTTTTACGTGTACCTACTCACCATTCCAACAACATATGAAAGATCTTGACAAGTATGAGTTGTGTACCTCAGACTTCCAATGACGCGCCTATACTAAGTGAGATTTACAAAGCCTTCTTTAGCGTCTTTTTTGAGTTGTAACCTTGCTTCCATGGGGTATTTAACTGGGTTTCACTCTGCCATCTTAAATTGCTTCTACATTTTTCTTAGCATAGATTGATTGCTTTAGCATTATATAATCTCTCTTTTGATCCACCTTAATAACGAGGTAGTACATGATTAACTCAAGGCCAGTCATCTTAAGTTCTTTCATCATTTACTACTTGAACTTTGTGATGCCATTTACAATTGTACCGGTAATGCAATTCATCAACGTACACACCAACTATGAGTGATTCAACTCCACGACTTCTTGTATACACTACATGCTCTTGCGAGCACTTCATGTAATTGAGACTCTTCAAATGCTTGTCTAGGTGTATGTTCCATGCTCTTCGTGCTTGCCGTAAATTGTAGAGGATCTTTGACAAGTTATACACTGTTCTTTTTGGTTTTGATGATGAAACCTTCCGGTTGAGTAATGTACACTTCTTCCTGGAGATCATTATTAAGGAATTCTGATTTGACATTCAAGTTATGAACCTCCCACCTTTGTAAAGTTGTGAGGGAAAGAACCAATCTCACAGTGGCAAGTCTAGCTATCGGCCCAAAGACCTCATCAAAATTAACTCCTTGCCACGAGTCTTGCTTTGTGGTTAATGACATTCTCTTCACTAATCTTTTTTAGCTTAAATACCAACTTCAAATCGATGGACTTGTGACTGGACTTCTCTTCACTATCCTCATCGTGCTTCTTGTTGCGACATTGATATGAATAAAAACATCTCAATCATACAATATGAACTTGAAGGAAGTCGTGAAGAATATTGTTCAAATTACACTAAGATAAAGTCATGTTATATTAAGTGAAGTCAAGTTTTATTAAAGTTGAAATCAAGTTGCAATTAACTTCACATGAAGAAGAATAAGCTTCATTTATGTAACAAGAGTTTCAAGATACTTCAAGTAGGGTTTCATTTATTCTAAGAAAGTAACAAATTCATGATGAATGATTAACATATAGATTAAAAAAGAAGAAAAAAGAGTACGAATGGAAGGGAAAGTGATATGAAACATGACCAACGAATTTCCATACCTCAAGGTTCAATTATAAGGACGAGAGCCAAGAAGCTATAACAAACCTTGTACACTTACATTTAAGCTATGGTGAGCTCGTCAAAGAAAATTCTAGAAGACGTTGGAGATCTCCCTTATATGTTTTGCAAAGTTGAGCTTCAAGAAAGAGATGCATTAAATGTACTTTAGTTTGCCTTTAATGAACTCAGTTGAATTTATGGAACTAGTTCAAGGATTGTTAATAAACACATTTCATTTGTTGCATTATTTATTTATAATTTAAATATTTGTTTGTTATATTTAAACTAATTTTTTAATATAGGAGTTGAAGAGTATATTGTTACCCACATCGATTACCATATTCCTTGTTAACTAACCATTTTAATACGAAGATTATGTGTATTTATCTTTCGGTTAACTAACCATTTTAATACGAAGATTATGTGTATTTATCTTTAACTAGCGAATTTAATATGGAGATTGTGTCACGGTTGTAAAGGCTATATATATATATATATATATATATATATATAAAGTCTTCTTGTCTTTGATGAGCCATCACATTTTGGAATTAAAAAAAATAGAATTTCTATTTTTCACATTTTGGAATTAAAAAAATAGAATTTCTATTTTTAGCTTTGTTGACATGTAAGTTTTTTCGTGTGCAAATTCTTGGGTTTAAAACTTGTATGCCAGAGTCATTCAAGTTGTATTAATCAAATCTCTTGCGGAGTAATTCGAATCACGAGTTTTCTTTACTCTTGATTTTGTTCGTCAAGGTAATTCGTTTCAAACTTTTCCTTGAGTTGATTCTATATCACAAAAGAAGTTGAGAAAGTTTGTAGAAGTAATGGGCAGCAGATTTGACAAGTAAATGACTATCGAAAGCGGTGTCATAATAATCTCGACTTGTTCAAAATCAAATATTAATCAACACGTTGGAACATGAAATGTGACAATAAGACATTGAACAAATTAGTAATCGTAAAACATTTTTAACACAAGTGTAAAGGATTTCTACCGATTTTATTTTTTTAAATAGTCATCTTTTATTTTATAAAAAAAAGTGAAAATCAAAGTGTGTTCTATGAATGTATCTTTTACAATTAATTCATAATAATAATAAAAAAAGTTGGAAGAATATTTTTTTTTAATAAGGAAAAAAGAATTAGGGTTTAATTGAGACGTAGAGTCGTTGTCCAAGTAATTTGTATTATTTAGTATTAATAAAGGAATCGAATATTGCAATTTGTGTGTTTAAATATAAAGAATCCAATATGGATTACCAAACCCATTGAAATTATGTTTTAAAAGTATTCAAAATCCACCACCTTTTTAATATTTACATTTTCTACCATCTTCCTCTTATATCTTAAATCATTATACAATTTTGGTTACGATCCAATTATATATATATATTTTTTTATTATTATTATTTATTCTAAGGCCATTAAACATAAAAATAATTTTACTTTTATTTTAAAAAATTGAATAAATAATCTAACCTAAAATATTTGCTCACAATACAACAAGTATGATTTGGGTTAAATAAATTTAGGATAGAACAATTAGATTGAATCTAGGGTGAACCGACATAAGCCAACCCACCAACTCTTACGCTTCCATCTACCCGTGAAAATGTCAACCAATAATGGAATAAATTGGGATAACCTATGATAAGAATTTACATATAATTCTTAAGAAAGACCAAGAAAGGAATAAATAATTCAGACCAACTTTCTTATAAAAATTTAAAATTTATAAATTAAGAAAGAAAATACTAAACAAAAAAAACTTAATGATGATGTGTGTGTGTGTGTGTGGTTGGATGTAAACAAATGGGAACACAAAAACTTGAAGTTGTCGTTTTGAGACAAACATCATGAAAGGGACATAAGGTTTAGGAAATTAAAAAAAAAGAAAAAAAAGTCAAAATTGTTAGATGAACACGACTCTCCACAATCGTACGATGAGCATAAATTCTCGTGATTTTCTTTGGGCTCTTCCAAAAGGCCTCGTATCTTCTAGGTTTTGTTCTATCTGCCCATCCGAGTCATCCCGTACTGGGTTGGTAGTTGAGGCCGTCAGATTTATGATGTCACAGTCACAGGCGTCATCTCAAAGGGCTTACCTGGGACTCGGAACTCAGTAAATACAAATATGCAGATGTAGATTGTTAGCTTGAAATCCAAATGGACTGGGTATTCCTTCATTATTCTCTAAATTAAAGGATGTGAGACTTTTCTCAGATAAAAATTAAGTTTGAAAAATATGTAAGATTAATTTGATGTATTTTTTATTAGTGTGAAGTTTGGAGAATATGTAGAGATTAATTTGATGTATTTTTTATTAGTGTGAAGTTTGGAGGAAGAATTGCTTCAAAGTATTGTTTAACATTAAATCTACATGAAAAAATGGCAACAACCTTAATTTCTCCCATTACATTGGACGGACACCTCTAATTTTATGTTTTTCTAAATGGTAAAACACAAAAATAATCAAATTATCCATCGCCCGCCGGTGGACGATACCCAAATGAAGATGCCCCGCCGCTCCCACTCCCGCCATTCATCTCATTTTCCGGTGGCCGGAACAATCTACGCTGCTGTTCAGAAAATGGGAAAGCAAAATTCGATGCACCAGAAGGTGGATTCACAAACACCCGTTCCGGGAACTCGCCGGAGTTTTGAGGAAAATACGAATACTGCAGATAGTTCCCGAAACCAGTGGGCTGCAGCGGCTGCGCAGCCACCGGAGATGGGGCCCAATGGGCGTTGGGCTGCGAAGACGGCGGAAGGACAGTGACGAATTCAGGGAAATTGAGCTTGGCTTTGCTGCCACGGAATCGCAAGGCTGCACCGTCGTAGGCTCGGGCTGCGGCCTCGGCGGTGTCAAAAGTTCCGAGCCAGACTCTGGTGGCCTTCTGAGGGTCGCGAATTTCGGCAGCCCATTTTCCCCATGGCCTCTGCCTCACTCCTCTATATCTTCTTCTTGGGTTTTCTTCGCCGGAAATTGCTGCCGGCGTTCTCGTCCCCGTGGCGGCGGAGATGGTGTTACTTGAATTTGAACCACCACCTGATATTTTTAATGAGAATAATTAAGAACAATTAAAGAAATCAATTACAATTAAAAAAAAAAAAGAAAAAACAATTGGAACTCACAAATTGAAACAGAGGGCTCCCAATAACTCTGTACAGCTCCAAAATCCACAATCCGGCCACCGCTATAGCCATTTCCGATTCCCCTTCCCCACATTATTCCACTTTCTCCATCTTCTTCCCTCTCTCTTTTCCTACAACCACCACCTGCCGCCACCGTGGTTGCCGGTGGAGCAAAACCAGAGGAATAACCAACCCCAGATAAATCACCAGCGCCGCCGTACCCGGGGGAAGCGCCACTGGAAATGACATGAGTCAAAGCCGAGACCATGGTGATTATCTCCCCGGCGGATGAGAAGATCGCCTCCGGCACATCGCCGCCGCCGCCGCCCTGTTTCGCCACCTTGAAATAGCACATAAAATCAAATGGTTAAGGTCTCAATTGGAAGAAATTGGATTGAAGGGTATTTATAAGTTGCAAAATTAAAAAACGTGCGCCGCCTCCATTAAAATAGTGAGGGAGTTTAATGACATTCTTGGAGTGAAGCTTCGTTTCACACCTTTGAATATGTTTTTTTTTCTTTTGAAAACAAACAAGGATTGAATTCATGCATGGGGGTTAACACATGGAAAGGGAATAAAGGGTCATTTATATATATATATATATATGTTTTAATGTGTTTTCATGACGGTGGTCTTAGGATTGAATTGCCGTCTTCAAATGCTAGAATGAGTTTATAGTAGTTTAATCAAAACAACCCACAAAATTTTGTAAGCTGTTTTCTAATTAAAAATTTAAACTTCATGCATGTTTTTCACCATTTGAGTTTTAAAATATAAAGTTGTTAATATCTTCCTATACAAGATTGTTACAATTTTGACTTCTAAAAACAATGAAAATTTAGATTTTTGTTTCCTCCTTTGATTTCAAAATTTTAATGTAGTCAAGTAATGCTCAATAAAATAGGACAAAAAAGTTAGGGAAAAATTCGAAAAAGTTCTTCATTTGACCATTTTATCAACTAATTTAACTCGATCGAATTTAGTCATATGATATTAAGTCTAAAGTTGGAAAAACCTAAACTCAAAATGGCGAGCCCAAAAATTTACAAAGAGTATGACCTTGACCAATCTATCAAGTGAAATGTTCAGGTTTGACATGTACATTCAGAATATTTCCATAATTTGTTCTTAAGCGGTAATGTACATCTCCAAGATCTAAATTTTAGAGACTTTGGCAACTTATTTGACTATGTTGTATTCTTATTATCTTTATTTGGCAACTTAGAAACAATGGCTTTGTTAATCCTATGTGTGTTTTGCCAGTTATTCGTTTCAAATTATGAGTTTCTCGATCTTACCAGAGATTCAGCCCGCTGGGGTCTTCTCTCCGCCGTCTACTTCTCTCTATGTTCTCACACTTCTTTTCTCTTGCAGGCACATTCTAGAGGGTTGTGGCTGAGTGGGAGCATTTGGTAGGAGTGTAGTTTCGTGGTCAGTTGAAGATGCAGAAATTCCTGTCGCCTCGCTAAAATTCTCGCATCTTTTCTAGCGACTATAACTATTTTTTTTTTGTAACCGTTAAGAGTATGATAAACACAAGAGATTTGTAAAGAGCTGCCGCGGTTGTCACTAGTATGAATTATCAACTTTCGTGGGTGAATGTCATAAGTGGGAAGAGATTTGTAATACCCATATGTATAAGAAGGGTTTATGATTACGAGGAGTTAAATTTAGATCAAGTTAAACATATGTATATGATTGATTTGGAAACGTAACCCTAAAGGGGTAAAATTGGAAAAATAGCCTTTTGATCGTTTTAAAAAATAGAATGTTCTTTTGAAAATTTAAGAACTAAACCGATACCAACTTTATATTTCATGAAAAATTATGGTGTGAATCGAATTTGAACCTTATATAATGAAAACAAATTGACAAGATCTCAAATCTCGAACCCAAAGTATATTAGAACTCTTATACAAAGTTATTGATAATATGATTGGATAAGGAGATGGAATTTGTACCAAATTCTTGCATCTCAATCATATCCATCTTGGATTTTGTTAGATAAACGAACCACGAAAATCACATCAAATAGATTAAAGCGAGAAAGAGAAAAGGACAATACCAAATATTATTCCATTATACATAAAAAAAAAAACATTATATTAAAATACGAAAACCTTAACGTTTGTTAAGATTACGTAAGATATGTCTTTAATGACCACCTTTTATTTGTTTATGTGATTTTCCGTTGTTTGAAAATTTCTTAAGTAATCCAAATCGGTAAATATTATACACTATATTGTTAGGGATAAGATGACCAAACCTAAAATCCGACCCCACCACTTCAAATCTCAATCCATTCTATTCTTGTCCATCTCATTTTTTTTTTTCACAAAGGCATGGAGAGATTTTGACTCTTTAGAAACCCTATCTTTTGTATTTTCTTGTGATATGAATTTGAAGGTTGAATTTATAAATATGGTATTTTTTAGGGTTATATGTAGCTTTCAACTTTCAATATGACACTTCAAATTATTTATTATTTTTTTATTCTACTAATATATTTTAATAAATCTATAATAAAATATTATTTACATGGTTATTTTGAATATGGATAACTTAAAAGAAAAAAAATTAAGTATGCTAAACATAATGTTAAGTATTATATATCTTTTTAATTATAATATGAATGAAGTTGAAAATATACCATAGTTCTCATTAACTAAATACGCATAAATGAAACTAATAATATTAAAAAAAAAAAAAAAACAATGAGGTTGGACAAGGAGCGGCACGAGAATTTTTTTTATACAGATAGTCAGAGTGTCATATAGTTGGTGAGGAACCCGATCTATCATTCAAAGACAAAACATAGAAGGCGAACCATTTCACTCCCAAGTTAGTGGAAGATGGTGATGTGTTTGAAGAAGATAGAGGGTGCAAAGAATCCCGCAAACATTTTGACCAAATGTGTTGATGTTGGAACATTGAGGTTGTGCAAAGCCTCAATTCATATGGTGCACTGAAGATGCTGATAATCATTTAACAATTAAATTCTTGGTTGACGGGATGATTTGGAAAAATTGTTGGGGAGGTGATTATATGTGTTAAAGCTATATATAGTAAAGTGACACCACACATTCAAAAGAAAAAAAACTTGAAATAAGTAGACACCAAAAAAATTTGAAAAAGTAGCATTGAAATCCAAGAATTTGAGTATAGATGTCTCTTGATTTCTTTCATTCCAAATTGGTGGAGATCCAACCATTTATATCATCCAAAAATTAACCTAGGTATGTAGGAGACTGCCAAGCTCTCATATGGCGACTGAGTTGGACAAAATCTTATTTTTCACCTCGAGATTTCAGGTTATTTTTCACCTCGAGATTTCAGGTAATTATGCATGTAGTTTCTGGTAACCCTAGAGAGGTTAGGGAAATCATTGGACCTTGAATTCAGTAAAAGAATACCTAAATCTCGAGAAACAAGCAACAATCGTTTGAGTTTTTAACTCACCCTCTTTTAGAAAATTTGGGAGCTACACTCAAACAAATTTCCCTCGTGCCAATTCCTACACAATCACCCAAACTTTTGTAGAAGGAAGGGAGGGCTGAAAATGAATGGAACAAATTTCTCAATAGTTTTGGAGAAATTTTGACAAATCTAATTCCAGCACTATAGATAAATTTTTTTTCCAAAAGTCGTGTCTATTGAGGTTCTAGGAACCTAAGGAGTAAGCATGAAGAAGAGCTCGAGGACTAATAAGCTCCGGAAAGGGAAATCTTTTAGCTCAAGCTCTTAGGTAAGTTTCTGACATTTAAAAACTCTCTCTCTATACTCAAATGATGCTGAGTGAGACAAATTTCTTTAGCTTCTTAGAGACCAATTGAACATTTTTCATAAAGAAATCAAGAGCTAAGGAGGTATGGATTAGCTTGACCAAGAGGTTGACTTTTCTAGTTTTAGGAACCCATAAACCAGGAAGCTTTGGCCCCAAAATTGAAGCTTCATAGTGTAATATAATTCATCCACAAGCCTTGTACCAATAGATTAGAAAACGAAGAATTTTGTCGAAAACCACGAAGGGAGATAGGCTCTCCAACTCCTGATCGGAGAAGGAAAGAGGAAACCGATTCTGTATTCACAATAGGTGAGTGATCTTTCTTCTCGCAATTCCTACACCTTTGTGTATGTGAGGGCTTATGCAGTGGACATCAAAGTTATTATCTGGGTATGACTAGAAATTATGTGGGCTTTGCACAAGTTCAAATCCTACCGCTCATGAGTTTTTATTTATTTATATTTATTTATCAATGATTCGAGGGGAATTACACATTGCATAAAAATTAAAATTAAATTTAAAAGCGGTGCCATTAGATATTTTGTAATTGTATTACGTTCTATATTTTCTAATTTCTTTCTTTCCTTAATTTTTCATTCCAAATTGGTGGAGATCCAATCGTCCATGTCACCCGAAAATGAACCTAGGTCTATAGGAGACTCCCAAGTTCGATGACTGAGTTGGCAAAATTGTATTTTTCACCTCGAAGTTTCAGGTAATGAGTCGTTCAGTTTCTGAAGAAATAAAAGGCGGTTTTGTCACTCGACTTCAGTTATAGGAAGACTTTCTGATTCTTGATCCTTGCAACCATAGTGTTATACACAAGTATGCTTCCTTAAACTGGGACCATTCAGAATTGAACGTTTTGTAGGAACACTTCCATCAAAAGTGAGCCTCTCTCTTCCTCATATATGTAGCACAATGTATTTGATACTCTGCTACATTGTTCCTACATTTAAAGTTTTTCTCTACACCTTCTAGGCGTGCCTCTTCTACCACAAGCTTAACCATTCCGCCACTGAAGGGAAGTCATATATGTAGCACAATGTATTTGATACTCTGCTACATTGTTCCTACATTTAAAGTTTTTCTCTACACCTTCTAGGCGTGTCTCTTCTACCACAAGCTTAACCATTCCGCCACTTAAGGGAAGTGGGTTATGTTAGGTTGAATGACGCTGTGACCTCTATGAGTAATAACCTCATATATATCCAGATGTGTACAATAAAGATTACATGGTGGGCCAACTGACTGAAGGTATGATCATAATCAATGTCATACTGTTGTTTAAACCCTTTAGCAACCATCCATGCTTTGTAGCAATCAATAAAGTCACGTGGCTTTTCCTTGAGTTTGAAAACTCATTTGCAATCAATAACGTTAAGACTAGCACGAGGAGGAACTAACTGCCATGTCTTACTTTTGAGAAGTGCATGAAATTCATCATTCATTACCTGAAGCTAGAAGGGATGCTCCATAGTAGTAATATGTGAAGTAGGTTTAGATGCAGATGCCATGACCTGATTTTTGAGGCTTCGAAACTCGGACCGTGGCCCAAACGACGAAAGCCAAAACAAACAAAAAGAAAGGAAAAGAAAAGAAAA